TCCTTTACTACCATATTTTAGAGCCATTACCTGTGAACTTTTCCGGTTCTTTGACAGAGTTCGTAGGCAGCATGACAATAGGATGTCCAACCGGTGCGGATGTGAAGACACCCGTGTTCGGTCCAAGTGAGGGAATGACCGGTATCGCCGAAGCCATATTCGGTCCGAGTGGGGTGACCATTGCGGCCGTAGCCGCGGTTGGTCCAATAACCGAGGTGACCTGAGCGGACCCCATAGTCACGCTCGATCCAACGAAGGTGGTGATTGGAGTGGACCCCATGGCCGCACTCGATCCGAAAGGAATATTGATCGGAGTGGTCTGCCCAACGAGGCCACCCAATCCAGCCGAAACGTTCACAACCGGAGTCTCAGAACTACTCTCGTTTCCGGTGTGAGCGTCAAAACCGAATCCGTCCATACCCGCAATCGTGCACTGGACAGCGAGGACATTATGCACTGGGCTGCGAGGACATTATGCACTGAACAACAAGGACTTTATGTCCTAGGGCAGAATGCAGCGAGGTCTTTATGAACTAAACCTGCAAAAAAACACCGTGGAAGGACAGCGGAGTCACCGGAGCTGTCCTTAAGGTAGTAGTGCCCGCCTACCGTACCGGAAACACGTGGGCACTCTCCTCCCAGGATAAAACCGCTATCGTGTGTGGAGATTGTACAGATCAACCACACACCAACGAAAAAGAACAACGTAGGAACGTTGGTGACCAAAAAAAACTTTGAAGGGGATTGCCGGAAATTTGGCCGGAAAATCAAGAGCTCTCTCCAAAAAAACAAGGAAGTATTTCCCTTTTTTTTCTTTCTCACGCATGAAACCACCCATTATGGAGAGTCTCCCTTGATTTGTTTTTATAACAAGGGAATTTGAAAAAATGTAACTCCTACACCATTAATCCATGGCATTTGTGGCACACTAATGACGTGTTAATGGTGATTAATTAGCCATTAACATGTCCATTACGCTACGCTCCATTTAAAATTAGTCCCTTATAATTGGAGATTAATGGCCAATTAACTCCGTAAAAATGGACTAATTTTAAACAATACGTAAAATTAATAATAGAAGATTGGTTCGGTAAAATTGCAAAAATTGCAATCCTTACCATATTCTTCTATTGACGGGTTAACTTTGAGAATCAATTTCTCATTCACCCTCTACCATTTTTGGCGTATAAATTATCAAAACATTTATCTCATTTAAGAGAACACACGTCCATTAATTAACGGTTAAAACCGTTAGTGGACCTATTGACAAATATACCCAGGTTGGTCCATTTAATGCCTATTAAAAATGCCAAAAATTCCAACAAAGTAAAACTTGAAATATAAAAAAAAAACTTGTAAGAGAGGCTAAACTTGTATAAATATTTAAGATATGATATATATATACTTACGCGTTCGTCGAGGAATACCATCTCTATTGAGTTTATTGCTTTGTTATCATTGAAGGCAGGCAACGTATACAACCGTATCACACGAACACAAATCCTCCAACACTCACTTGTCGGATTGATTTTTGATAAAGGGTGAATGGGCTTGAAAGACGTGACGATTTAGCAAACAAATTACTTGTAGTTTTCTTTCCAATGCAAAATTTTCGAATGAAGAAGAACCTAATTCAAATGAACTTAGGCTAACGTGATATATACTTAAAGAACTAAGAAATCTCCTAAATTTAGTACCTAAATCATAATCGTGAATAGGACTTTCCAAGGCAAAATTTGTGAATCGGACTTACCAAATTCTGAAGGCATAATCTTGCGATTGATTTCTCACATACTGAAATCCCTAATCTCCGGCCAAGGATTTTGGAATCATACAGTGAATCTTCAGCCAGCGAATATACGGAATGGAGTTTTTTTGAATTCGAAATTCTCGAGTAAAGTTCAGTTGTAAAATAAATGTGATTTGTTTTAAATTTTAAGAAAATAAGTTTTTTGTGAAACATATCAAATGTGAATATAGATTTTTTTATTTTGGTAAAATAAATTTAATTTATTTTTTTGCTACTTGAATCGATTTTATCCACGTGTTTTTAAACTCTTTAGTCTATTTATAATCGATTATTGATGTTAGAATAATTTATGAACTTGAAGAATCTAAACAAATATTGATATAGAAAAATAAAATTTATCCAAATCTATACAACTCCATTTAGAGTTAAAATCACTCATGTGATAAGAAAAGACCAGTTTGAAAAATATTAAATTAGAGAAGACTATGTACGTAATTATTGCTTATTGAGAACTGATTTGGACAAAATACCTTAGTAGAAAGAACTATTTTTAAAATTTACTCAATTTCTTTTTTTAACTTAGTTTTAGTTATATTGGATTAGTCATTTTTAAGCTAAATTCAATTCAGTTATGTACACATTTTTTGTTGAATTACAACCATATTTTTGCTAAATAAATTCTCATAAAAAGAATAAATTAGTAATTTTAAAAACAATCTATATTTTACTTAAAAACTTTTATATCAATGTTAGTGTCTTTTATAATGAATAATTCACTTAATTTTTATGAAAAAATTATATTTTTATTTTCAATCATTTCCATGATTGTTTTTGAATTCAAAAGTCCATAACATTTTTGTAATATAAAATATACTGATTTAAAGTAATCAAATATTTAAATATCAACTTCTAAATATTATAATAAACTATTTGCTAAAAATGATCAATAAATATTTAAAGCATGTCATAGACTCTGTATTTGTTTCTTTTGTCATGTTATTTAATCTTAAAAAAATAAAAAAATTAGAATGGATATGTGTCTCACAAATAATTTTGAATATGATATGTGACAATAATAGTGAGCATATTAAAGAAGTAAAAGAGATTAAAATTGTCAAATAAATGAAATATAAGTTAAACAAATTTAAAGAAAGTAATTTTTTATAATATCAAATATATATATATTAGTGCAAACTTATCAAATACTCCCTCCGTTCTCAAAAACACTTCCTCTTTCATTTTTTCCACTTCCAACAAAACACTTCCCCTTTCTATTAAAAAACCACTTTTACCCTTACTTTTTCCTATCCTACCTATCACATCATACTTTTTCTCTAATAATCTATCCATCACATCTTACTTTTACTCATCACATCAGGGGCAAAATTGGAAATCAACTATAATTTAACACTTCCTTATTTTTGCCCCCAAATCAAATGGGAAGGGTTTTTCCAAACGGAGGGAGTATATAAATATCAAGTTTTAAAAGTTACCATAAATTATTTGTTTAAAATGGTCAATTATTATTCAAAAGTTTTATAAATGATTTTAGATTCAATTAATGCATATATTCATCATTGACATGTCAAACAAAAACTCCACATAAGCATTCCATATGTCAAACAAAAACTCCATGTAAGCATTCCAAACGTGGCGCGCTGACATGTTTAAATTTTCCCATATAGACATGCCAAATGTCGAATTTCTGTGCATCTGAGTCTCCTTTATTATATTAAAGGATATGATATGATATATTTGTAAAGTTAAGTTAAATTCTTGGAGTGTTGCCATGTGGCATGACACATGTGCATTCATTGATGAGATGTATACGTACGTACGTACATACATACATACATACATACATACATACATACACACACACACACACACACACACACACACACACACACACACACACACACATATATATATATATTACCATATACAGTCTCTAATGATGTATCATTATTTAATTAATCCATTTTTTATTATAATGTTTTATTAATTAAAAACATTTTCATTAGTACTTTATTCAATAACGGCCATTAGTTTTGTATAAAAATTTTGTTTTTAAATAAACATACCAATACGTATTCCACCAGTTTAAATTTTTTTTTTTACATAATTAAATTATATCTATATAATATTTTATAACTTTATCGATGTTTTGAAAATTTAAGTTTTGTATGATTTTTAAAAACAATAAATCATATCGCTTTTACTACTTTTAAAGAAAATACTTAGTCTTTAGTACATGTACATCTATATTTAAATTATATTATATGAAAAAAGATATATCTTAGAGTTAAAAAAATATTCATCTAATAAATATTATGTCACTATTAGAAAACTAAAACAAATAAAATTATATATATATATAAAATATCAAAAATTTAAAATGTATACGAGCCTGTGCGAAGCACGGGGTTAACATTAGTTGGGTTGTATTTAGGACTTATCTTTGACTATCTTACTAATTAAGGCTTGTATTATTCTTAAATAAGAAGTAATCTAAGTGACAAGTCTAGATTAGATAAAACTTCTAATTGAGTGTTTGAGCAAAACTCTATGTATCTAATTGTTGGATTATCCTTGTTAGAACTTTGAGAGAAATTAATGTCAAGCTGAGCCAATATTAAGCAATAATAAATCATGTGTTTTAAATCTTATATTTGAATCAAATTTGCTGGTTTCCGGCAACTTCTCATTTAGCTCAACTTTGAAAAAAAGGAAGTAAGAAAAAAATTTCGATTTTATTTATTTTGAACGAGGATGTTGAAAACCTAAGTGTGAGAGTATTTGTTAAGTCTTAGGGGGTGTATTCAATTGAGAGTCTGTATAATTTTTTTGGACTTTCAAAATCTGAGGGTATTCAATCTAGATTTCTAAAAATATTCAAAAATCCTAAGGTATTCAAAATATTGCTTATGTCAAATCTCTTCTCATATCTTCGGATTTCGATGGATTTGGACAAAGCAATTGTGTAGACTACAGTCTACACCAAACCCATCACCATCCTGACCGTGCTCCTTCTGTATATCTGCCGATTTCATCCGCCTGAATCACAGAGACTCCATTGTTCTTCTCACCGGCCCTCCTTCCTCGTAACACCCAATTTCCTCGTTTTTTATTCCATATTCACTTCTGCAACGAAGCTTGAGTTTCCATCTCTTGCTGTTCCAGTACGCATTGAACACCGCCATGGCTACCGAAGGCGGCTTCGTGGTGTTCTTTTCCAGCCGCCGGAAGTTGGAGTCCAAACCCCCTTTTCTCGCTCCCGACGTCGAATCTTCGTCCACCATTTTCACTGCATTTCACGTTCATGATGCAATCCCTATTTTGGTCATCATTGATGATTTTGCTGATTTCTTTGATGATAGGTACTGTTTGCTTAGTCCTTTCCACTACTCCCTCGTCCCTGTATTACTAGTGGCTAGTGCCCGGTGGAAGATTTGTTGGCCTGCAGCAAAACCCGGCCCTGCCAAGGCCCATACAAATTCATGGAATCTATGAAGTCCATGTAAATCAATGTAAAGTGCACATATTAAATTAGAGGGTGTTTATCTCTGCTAGTGTTTATTAGGGATGGCAACGGGTCGGGTTCGGGTCGGTTAGTACTATACCCGAACCTGACCTGACTTTTAAAACCGAAACCCGAAACCCGACTTTTTAAGCCAAACCCGACATTCCAACCCGAAACCCAAACCCGACCCGAACCCGACTTTTAACCAATAATCAATTCAATATACCCCAATAATTTTAAAAAGATTAAATCTAATTTTTTTGCGTCTCATTTTTTATTAAGGAATTATAAAAATGATTATAAATGACATACTTAATATAGTAGCACTTTGTCAAGAGATTATACGGAGTGCTCATTATATCTATAGATAGGCTTTTATGTTATAAAATATTAAGGTTTGAGTCGGGTCGGGTGCGAGTTCGGGTCGGGTCGGGTAAAATAATAAACCCACACCCGACCCGACCCGATGTCGGGTTCGGGTAAAAATTCTCGGGTCGGGTTCGGATTATTTTATTCTCGGTTCGGGTTCGGATATTTTAGTGGTCGGTCGGGTCGGTTAAGATCGGATATTTTAGTGGTCGTTCCACAAAGCTTTCAACAATATATTTTTTTCTTGAGTCCCAAATCATATATTCTAATTTATTTCCTTCGAAATGATTAATCATAATTTTTTTAACAAATCTCTTTTGTATGGTTTTCAAAATAAGTCCCAACATTTTCTTTTAAAATTAACTTCAACATACATACAATAGCTTTAAATGCACACTTTTTTTTTAATATTCAACATAGAATATTTTTATGAAACAATTTTCATTAAGAATTAACCATGTTCAGAAAAATGTCATATTTATCAAACTTTGTTTTATAATTTAGTCAAATTTCAAAATCACTTTCAACTGGATATTCTCTATTAATTTCAATTATTTTCTTAATCATTTGGAATAACTCTTTTAAAAAGAAATATTTGACGAATAACTTTTCATATGAAATCAATCGCAATCAATATCAAGAGTTATTTTTAAAAAAAATCATTTAGTAGTGACACAACATACCATTCATAAGAAAAATCAATTCCTTGATTTTTTTATAACAACACTTGGCGGTTCAATCATACACCACTTTTGATAAAATGGTTTGTCGAAATAATTTCGTTTTAATTCTATGAAATCAAAATCCAATGATTTTATTAAACAATTCATCAGTAGTTTTTTTTTCTAATAAAAAGAATATTTGTTGTCACATGGTTAGTGAGACAAAAATTAGTTTATCAAATTATTTGGTATACAAAACAATTCGTATACATATTTTAAGGAAAATGCTTGGTTCACAAACTCAAACTTCACAAATTTCACAAACTTACTATTTGTGAACTTTAATAAAGAAAATTAAATAGTATAAAATAATTTTAAAATGATAATTTAAACCATAAATAGTAGGTTTGTGGAGTTTGTGATCATTCTGTTTGTAAACGTAGCATTGCTCATATTTTAAACAAGATTTAAGGGGTTTGTACAAACATCTTTTTTTTGTATAACATTTGTATGAAATAATATCATCGTACAAAGACTTTTCAAACTTAATCTTTATTTAAAACATCCTTCAATATATATATTTTTTAATAATGACCCATAATGATAGCTTTGTCCAAACTTAAAAAAAAAAAATTGGTCAACATCATTTATTTATACATATCTACCAAGTGGTTCTAGATAGCAATTAATTAAAAACAAATACCATTCAAAAGTTCAATATCACATTTGAAAATATTCATAAAACATTTTCTAAGTTATCATCCCACAATTGTTTTGAAAACATAAGCATAATATTTTTTTTAAATTTTTAACATTGCATAATCCAAACATTATATATTTTTTTTGCAAGAAAAATCTTCAAATAAACCAACACAAAATTTTGGAGACTTTTTTTTCCTCAACATAATACATTCAAAGTCTTTTGTTCATAAAAATCAGTATTTTATTCCCTTGTATATTTCAAGGTATAAAATAATATCCATAGTGTGTAATAATAATTTACACACTCTTTTTAATTTGAAGTTCTCACTTTTGTTTTGTAGAAAATTTTAAAATGACATTTGGTAAACAACAAATTCTTCTATACATTTTTTTTTATTTAATTCTTTGCAAGAATTTAAATATATCGATTGTTAAAAATAAATAAGTATATACACTTTTGTATAACCAACTTTCATTTGTAAAATATGTCACAATTCATTTTTTTTGGAATATCTAACAAGTCAATATCCTCTAGATAATTTTTTATCGAATAACACATAATCATACAACACAATAATTTATTACCTTCCTAGAGCTGGGATGAAGTGGAGGATGCGGACACACCATTCTGAAAACAATTTAGTCAAATGGTCCGAAAACCGATTTTAAAACCATTTGCTCCGATACCAAATTGTAACACCCTAATCCGTCAAGGTCTACAGCCCCTTTCGAACTAAAGTATTAAATTGGTAACGTAAAAATTTCAAACATTTAAAAACTTTATTTCAAACAATTGTACAAAATATTTCATAATTACATCGGAGTAATATTATTTAAAACATTGCGGAAGCAATTTGTAAACTAAATAGTATATTTGTTCATGTCCACGCATCACCTCCATCTCAGTATTCTCCAGAATAGGCTCCACATTTATTCTTTGTCATACCTACGTGTAGAAAGATAAAAAAAGTCTACACGCTCAGCAATGAAGCTGAGTGATACCATGGCACAACAAAAGAATTCACAGAATAATTTCTTAAACAATACTCATCACATATATATTTAAATCCATCTTTGTTGTTTTAACAATGATAATTATGAATATAGTCAATCTTAACTATCATCATTCAAACTTAATCAGTCCATAATTCACAATAATCACATGTCACTTTTTTATCACAATATTCATCATTTGTTACACATAATTTTCATATCAAATTTTATCACAATTTGCTCCTAACTTATTCTAAGTTAAGGCTAAATCATATCAATGCTCTTAAACTATTTTTCGTCTAAGTCAAATTAATATTGATAACATAGCTCTTAAAGTATAACTAGTCTAAAGCAATATTTCTAACCAGGCCCTTAAACTATAAATAGTTTAATGCAGAACACAAGAATCGATAATCCACCCTATGAGTTACGTGGATTACGTATCAAACCGAACAGTAATCTGTCGGGTGGGTGATATCCGGTTTGGATCCCGTACGTACGTTTTAACCCCGAATTATGAATTGGTCAAGGAGGTATATCTTAGAGTTGTTCTAGATATCCTTAATAATCATCATCAATTTTCCAAGTGGGTATATCTTATAGTTCTTCTAGATATCCTTAACAATACACATCATTTTCATAACCATCAATATATTCATATTTAATCATGATTTAATCATTCATAATTATTATTTTAATAAGAATATTAATCAAAGTCTGATCATAAACAACATCAATAATAATGATCATCACAAAATCCAATAACAAATAACGGCCTAGGATCGAGTGTTAACGTCCTAGCTTATCGTCATATATCATATACGGTTCTTTAATTGTCCAAACATCATTTTTTTTACTCTAAAAAAATGTCTTTATATTGATGTAACAAAAATAGGATTTTATATATTCAAAAATAGCATTCTCCGAATTTTTGTTGGGTAAGAGTTTCCTTTTTAAAGTGGAGGTTAGAACAATGTTCAAGGGACGTCTGGAGCAAACATTTACAGTCTCGAAAGTATGTCGTGATGCAATTGTCCTCGCACAATTTATGGAATCTGCTACTCCAAAGAGTGGAAAAAATAGTGGCCACAAGCAGGGTCAAGTTTATGCTGTGGGTGGAGACTTTTTTTTGATATTACTAAGGCCACCACCATAGAGTCGTTAAAAGATTGTACGGAGATTAGTTATATCCTTTCCATTAAATGCATTGGCTTAAATGTTATAAACTTGATAATATTGAAGGATGTCTGCTATTAACGATGTTATGTTACTGTGAATATGCAATATACGGAACAATCAAGACTGTAGACTCGGATTGGTTTATAGCAACCTATAGGTGCGGGGTTGAGGTGGTCCCACATAGTGGCTCTTACCATTGCACTGATTGTAAGAAACGCGTTGTGAATCTTATCCCAAGGTACATGTTTTGATAATCCATCACTCTTATTAAATACGTAAAAGTTGAAAGTCTTTCTTTTAACGCAGTCATGTGGTCAACTGTGGAACATGTATCGAATCAAGATGAGAGTCGTAGACACGTCTCACACTGCTACTTTTGTAGTATACGAGAATGTGGGATGTTTGCTCCTTCAAAAATCATGTGATGAAATGATGAAGTATTGTGAGGTATGTAGAATTTATTGGATTACCATTACACAATAAGTCTATCAAATAATGAATTAAAATTTTCAAGCAGAATGTTCCCGGTGGAGACATACAACCAGATGTCTTCAATCGACTTTTGATAGATAAAACATATATCTTCAAGGTGGAGGTCAGGCGTGCACACTTCAACGAATTTGATCCATCCTATAATGTGATGGACATTTGTTTCAATGAACAGACCATCTCTAAATTCAAAGAAAGAAATACTACTTTATTTTCAGTACAAGTTTGATAAGATACGTTTTAATCGTAAATTTGGATTGATTGATAGTTGATTAAAACATAGTTACCTGTGCCTTATACCTTCTTCTATTATATCTAATATTTCATAATTTAACTTTGTGATATAGACCGATGTGACGCTGGGACTTTCAACTGGAGAGAAATTATTGCAGCATACCTTCTCCGTAGGAGAGGCATCTTCGTGTGTGAAGGTGAGAACTCTTGGCTATTTATTAACACACTTTGCTAATAACATGCATCTCTTATGAATTGGTATGTTTTTGTTGGTGAATCCGAGGGTTAAGCATAGCTAAATCATTGCATCATTGAGTTTTGGTCTGTTTGAAAATCATTTAAGCAGAATATTGAACCTTAAGTACACAAAAATGCATCTGACCATAGAGACATTGTTTGAAGTTGTTAGTCTAGGATCCCGGTATTTGAATTGGAGAATGTCTCCATGAGGTTATGGTCAATTGTGAATTATTTCTACACGTATGCAACTGCCGTCTTGGGGTTAGAGTTGTATAATGAATATTGGCATATCTTTGAGTGAACAATTCGTTACTCTATAGTGATGTCGAAGAAGTGAAATCAGACTTTTGACAACATATCATACCATTAGTAATCATAGTCTTAAACAGAAAAAAGGCAAAGTTAATCTACAATGCCACAGTTAATCAACAAGGAGCTCTTTTAAGAAAATAATTCAAAGATTTTGTAATTTCTGGAATGTTGAACATAGATTATAATTCTGGGTTTTTACTCTACCGAATAGAATGACTCACAGGTGCTTGGTTATGTTGCTTATGCTATACTGACTATCCATGAACCATGATTTTTAGTCTATCAATTACAATGACTGGGTTTTTAGTAATTACAAAAGACTTGATTTAATATGCTTTATGTATACTGACTGTCCATGAACCGGTGCCTTGCTAGACATTTAGACCATACTCATCCGTGCCAGATTTTTCCATGAAATTCTGTGAATGCAATTTTGGTCTATCAATTAGAATGACTGACAGAGGATGTAATATGTCAGATGTAATATGCTTTGTGCTAGACTGACTGTCCATGAACTGTGGTTCGCTAAACATTGAGACCATACCCATTATAAATGCCAGAATTATGGCGTTGAAGACTTAAGGAACAAAACAACCTATTGATGCCATACCCATGTTGAGACGATCTGTTCATGAAGAAAAAAGCCTTTTGACACAGACTTCATGAAAATTGAGACCATACCCATATTGTAAACTTTGAAGGCAATACTTTGTTCATGAACTATTTGTGAAGACTTCCTGAACATTGAGATGTCATTGCTCAATATTTTTTCAGCTGCGTTTATATGTTAATTGAACTGAGAAGTCTTCACAATTAAATAACATAATACATGCTCAGTATTTGATAGGCATTGACCCATGCTGTAAATCTTGAATATACCTAATGAATAGACCAGGCTCAATATTAACTGTGTTGAGACCAATATGAATATTGTGAGACTCCGTGGATCTTACATCTAGATATAAGGGTGAACAATATAAGTGTATGTACTTTTGTTGTTATACTCAGTTTGTTTATAGCTAGTGATCAAAACAAACTGGAAATTATTTATAGATGAATGTTCATAAACTAATCTCATTTAATTGAACGGAACATAACATACTGGAACAGATCCACAGATTTTGACGAAGCAAATCTTATTCTTGACAAAACTTAATATACATTTTTCAACCTTTGTCATGCAGAATTTGATTGAAGCTTTTGGAGAATCTAAGGATGATCATTTGGAACAAGATGTGGATGTTATCACCGATTTTAATCTCAACAAGAGATTGAAAGACGTTGAACATTGTCATGGAGTTGGGGATGATTCGAGCAAGAAGATGAAGAATATCAAAATAGAGAAAGACTAAAGACTAGATATTTCACTTTATGGTTTTGACGGATCCGTAGCTTGATTAAATAAGTTTTAATTTCATTTGTGCGTTAGACAGTTGGTGATTTACAACTATTTTGGTTTTTTTTATTCATTACTTTATAATTTAAACGCGTTTAAAGATTTTCTTTCTTCCATTTTGGCCATTTATATCTATATACTGCGCCATGTACATTTATTTTTTTAATTCAATACATATTAATCTTCTTGCTTTATATTTTCGCTCTACTTCGGTATGTTGAGGACTAACTTAAGGCTTTACTTGATACTTTTCATGGCTTTCCAGTGGCGGATTCATAAAAATTCATTTAATTTATACAAATGTTAATTACGATATGAAAGATAAATGTAAAAAAAATATCAAAATAATGTTTAACTAAGCTAAGAGAATGTATGGATCTTTAACGTGTTATCAAATCGTAGATACTTTAAAAATTGGGTATCAAACTTGCTTCGATAAAACATATCAAGAGAATAAAAAATACTACGTACTATTTTTGAAGTGTATCAGTGCTAAAATTTTGAACTCACTATTAAGAGTTATCACAATCTAAAATCAAAATTAATATTTTAAAGAAAATGTGACCTTATCCTTTTTTACACCTTTGCATATATTATTTAGGATTTACCATTTGAACAAAGTGTTATAAATTTTGACGACGTAAATGTATACAAATATAAAGAAGCAAAGTAATACAAAATGTGAGTTAAATGTATTTGAGTAGTTTATTACATTTATATTTTCTTCTTTTTCGTTTTTAAAATATAAAATATTTTGTGAGAGTGTGAATAATATACAACATTTAATATACTACTTATATATGTCTACAGCTAACATGTAAATTATGATACGTTTAGTAACGAATTATTTGCGTGTCATTAAACATAGAGAGACAGTATACGGATAGCTTTTAAGATAAAATTTTAAAGATGCAGATTACTTAGAAAACGCAAACGCTAGCCACTACCCGTAGATAACCTTTTCAATACATTGACTCTAACCTCTAACGCTATTTCTAAACAAACCCAACTTCAACATTACGTATAAATAATTGTAGTACCTAATGTTTCGATAAAATTTTTTACTCTCTCTCTCATAAAAAGTTTAATATTTTTTAGCCTTTTATATCGATGGTAGTTGTGACCCTTATAGTTCTCTTCTTTTTAGTTTTGTAACGCTTTTTCAAGAATAAAATTTCACCTTTTAAAACTCCATATCAATAGGCTGTGTAAAGTCCTTTTTGTGAGAATTAGGAGCACATAAAATATAACGAAGCACACTAATATTTAAATTGGTTGTGAATACAGTTTTTTAAATGCGAGTAAAAAAATTATTTTAGACAAATTAATGTTAAAAAACAGTTTTAGACAAAGTCAATCCTTCCATACTTTAATTTGTGTTATACTTTAATTATAATTCATACTTTTTGTAATATGTTTTCACATATAATTAATTCTCTGTATCTCAATGCATCCCAAAAAAATATTACTGAGTACCATTTTTTTGGATTTTGACCTGTCAAGATTTAATGATGCTTAATTTCTTTTGACCAAATCGGTATTCACTTACGGTCAACTTTATATTGCAGTTTTACGAGTGAAAACTAAGAGAGGATTGAAAGTGTTAATTTTAGATGACAACGGTAACCCTTGCAATTGTACTAAAAATGTGGTTTACCCTGAAGTTTTCCAAAAAAATTGTATTTAATTGATAGATTTGTACATTCTTTTCAATTTCTATATACATGAATTTAAGTTACTATACTCTTTTTATGTCGTATCTAACATTCTATATTATATTTACCTTTATTCTTTAATTATTTTCATAAAACAAAAAAACAACAGAGTTAAAAATAACATGCGTTAGACCCCGTGCATTGCACGGGTTAAATGCTAGTATATAAAATTTGAGAGTTGGTCTCTTAGAATGTTGACACGTGCATATGTGTCATTTTTGACACGTCATTTATGACATATAAATAAAGGGCTTGCTTCAGCCCTTCTCATTCATTGACGAGCCGAATAAGTAGATGCTTAATTTCGGCAATGCTTGATTCAAAATTCAATTTCCAAGCAATCTGATTAAGGAAATAATTCTACTCTCCATTTAGAATCTAATTTCTCAGCGTAATTCTTGCTCTATTTCAGCAAAGAAAACCACCCAATAAGAGTACTTTTGATCTAATTATTTTATTTTATTGATTCAAAGGAATTCGTATTTTTCATTAAGATTTAGTCATGTGAAATGAATATAATTTTGAAGAAATTGTATTTTCATTGATTGATTATGTGAGGAGTACATGTATATATATACAACATCTCAATCCTAGTTATGGTAGGAGAGGTATTCTAGGAAAGCTATACATGTATGGAAACAAATCATAATACAATAATATTAAATATATTTAATATATTTAACATGCTCCCGGCTACGTCGGATGTGCTGGGGGTCGGATACCCAGGCTTTCTCTGAAGTCCAGAAATAAGAGAGAGGGCAGTCCTTTTTGTGAAGATATCGGCGAACTGAGAGGATGAAGGAACATGAAGGACTTTGATCTGGCCAAGCGCCACTTTATCACGTACAAAGTGTATGTCAACCTCGACGTGCTCGGTGCACTGATGTTGCACCGAATTTGATGATAGATAGACAACACTAACATTGTCACAGAAGACGAGTGTGGCGCGACGGAGTGGTTGTTGCAGCTCAAGAAGAAGATTCCGGATCCAGTAGGTCACTGCAACAGCATTGGCAACGACTCGATATTCTGCCTCGGCGCTAGAACGAGAGGTGGTGGCCTGGCGTTTGGAAAACCAGGAAACGAGGTTGTTGCCCATAAAGACACAGTAACCTGATGTGGAGCATCTGGTGTCAGGGCAGCCAGCCCAATCAGCATCGGAGTAAGCCTGTAAATAATCGGTGGCGGATCGTGTCAGATGGATCCCGTGGGTGGCAGTGCCACTAAGATAGCGAAGAACTCGCTTCATGGCAGTAAGATGTGAATCGCGTGGTGCATGGAGGTGTAGACAGAGCTACTGAACTGCATATGTGATATCAGGACGAGTGAAGGTGAGGTACTGCAGTGCACCGACAATGGACTTGTAAAAGGACAAGTCGGAGAGCGCCGAACCAGCTGTGCTAGATAGTTTTGCCTTAGTGTCCACCGGGGTAGAGATGGGGAGGCAAGAGATCATCCCTGCCCGCTCAAGGATATCATGAGTAAACTGAGTTTGGTGGAGGAAGAGTCCGGTGGCTGTGCGCTGAACATTGATCCCAAGGAAAAAATGTAGGTCGCCCATGTCTGTCATAGAGAATTCAGCCTTGAGCTGCTGAATGAGACTCTGAAGCAGTGACGGGGAGGATGATGTGAGTACGATGTCATCAACATATAGAAGCAGGTAGGCCGTGCCAATGGGCTGAGAGAAGGTGAATAGGGAAGTGTGGGCCTTGCATCCTCGGAAGCCAATAGTCTGTATGAAACCTGCAAACCTGTGAAACCAAGAGCGTGGGACCTGCTTAAGACCATAAAGAGCCTTCTTGAGTTTGCAAACATAATGAGGGTTAGTGGGATCCTGAAACCCAGAAGGCTGGCAGGCATAAATGGTCTCCTGTAGCTAACCATGGAGGAACGCATTTTGACATCAAGTTGGTGAATGGGCCATCCACGAGACAGAGCAAGGCTGAGGACGATACGAACAGTGGCAGGCTTGACAACGGGGCTGAAGGTCTCGTCATAATCAACGCCAAAACATTGGTTGAAATCGCGGACCATCCAACGGGCCTTGTACCTGGATAACTCACCTAAGGGGCCAAATTTGTGTCTAAAAAAACCATTTACCAGTGATAAGGTTTTGGGAGGGGGGGTACTAATTCCCATGTGTCATTCTTTATCAAGGCATTAAATTCATCACACATAGCAGCATGTCAGTTTGGATCTTTTAGTGCACTACGGTAGGTTGGGGGTAATGGAGAGATAGGGACAAAAGTGTTAAGGTTAAGAAGTTGTTTGGGGCAGAAGACACCGGCTTTGGAGCAGGTTCGCAT